GCATACCACCACCAGCTAACTTCTGAATGGTTCCTTGCCACGAGGGAGGCACCTAACCTCTAGTGACCAAGGCAAGGTCATGGCAAGCACGAGTTACTGTCATGGCTGCCGAAAGGGGCAGGCATCTGACCTTAGTGACTAAGACAAGGTCAGACAAATACGTGTTCCGCTGTTATGGCTGCTGAAATGGGGAGCTGGCCCCTTCAGTGGTACATACCTTTAATCCTGCCACTCATAGACAAAATTCAGATATAGCTCCTAAGTGGTATTGTAAGACCCCCCCCCAAAGCTCCAACCTCCAGGATCTTTTCCCAGGACCTCGGCCACCCCAATCACCATGCAGAGGCAGAAACTTGATGGGAACAGCATGCAGGCTAGAGAGGAGCTGTCCCCCAGGCACAGGTGTTTTTAAAGGCAAAAACCCTAAGCTTAGGGAGGGGCCTCGACTCTCTGTCTGTTGAACCCAGGAGTCATGGGTTCCTAGGAGGCCCTTTGTCTTGAGGGGAGGCCTGGGAATCAGATGGCCTCCTGACCAGTTGTAAAACCTGAAGACCTCAGGATGTGCTAACTAATGGTAGCTATCTCTTTGTTTCACAGGGACCCTTAATTGTTAATTATTGGCTGGTGGGGCAATCTGCTTCCTTCATGAGCCCCTGGGGGAGGGTGGCCATCTGGGAATTCTTGGTAACCAGTTATCTTATGGCCTTGTATGGGAGTAATTGCTGGTGGCTGGTAAATTCCAGGCACTAAGCCATAGTAGTGGCCTTAGTCAGTTTCTGGGTTAGGCTATCCTACATTCCATTTGGAGAGTTTCCTTATCTGGGCTATATTTCTTTGCTAATTTTTAAGTCTTTCAATACTAATTCTAGAAATAAGTGTGTTGATATTTTGTTTGTGGCCTAACAAATAAAGCTTGCCTGAAGATTAGAGTGCAGATCTAACCACACTAGTTAGCAAAATGGCCAGGCAGTGGTGGTACACACCTTTAATCCCAGCACTTAGCATGCATCACTCTCTGTGAGTTCAAGGTCACCCTGGGCTAAACAAGATTGATCCAGAGTCAAAGAGAAATAGATTCAGGTAGTGGTGTCTCACACCTTTAATCCCAGTACTTTGGAGTCACATGCCTTTAATCTCAGCACTAGGGAAGTGGTGTCAGGAGTGATATGGTTGGGCAAAGAGAGGGTTCTAAGTTGGGAGGAGACAGGATCTCAGAGCATTCAGTCTGAGAATTTCTAGAGACAGGATCACCAATTCAGTCTGAGGATTCCTAGAGACAGGATTGCCCCTTTGGTCTGAGGATTTGTTATCGGTAAGTGCAGGGGAAGCTGCCTGCTTAGGGGTATGCCTGACCACACCTGCAAGGGCGTGATCAGGGTGACGAAGAGTGAGAGTTTCAGGTGGCTGGGTTCGCTTTTAGTTTCACTTTTTGGCTTGCTGTACAGACTGCTGCCACGCCGGCTGGCTAGGTCGCTCTGTAAGTAAGGCTTTTACCTGTTAAATACCCTTGTATTTCTACCTGACTCCGTATTGGTAATTTTCCACTTTAGGTAAGAACCAGTGACTGACTGCTTGGCTTCTCTGAACTTTCCTCATTTATCACTATGTCTTATTTGGGGTTTTTATTATTAAGACCATTTTGGATCCATGCTATATCTGGCACCCAGAGTGAGACACAGACTCACAAAAAAGCCATGGGCATAGGTTGGAGCTACATGCAGCTGTCACTGCCCTGACAGTTGGATTTTCCTTTCTTTTCTCCCTGTGGGTTGTGGGCTTTCTCTGAACCCCTTATGGGGCTGCTGCCAACCTAGGTATCTGCCCTAAAATCTGATCAGACTTCTCCTGTTTTACTCGGCAGCTGTCAGCCTCATGTCTTCATTGCCATCATTGGCAGATTTTGTAAGAAAATTGGGACTTCTTAAAGGGAGGAATTAGTTAAAAGAGAGTTTTTTCCCCACATTAAAAAATTGGAAACACAATTACAATGAACATAATTAGGTCTCTGTGTGATTGTGTAATGCATGATTTAAAAATGGAGCAATTAAATCAATTAAATGAAGGGGTAATCCACTTAATTGGGGTGGACATAATGTAAATTATCATCTTGATAATTCCTAGTTTATCTCTAAAACAGTTGGTTCACATGATTGCCCTTAGAAAAACTTTTTAAAACAGATCATAGAGATTCAAACCCAGACAGGGAAATTTAAAGGAGAATGAATTTCAGCATTTTATTATAAGGTTAGAGGGGAAGAGCCTGGGGATTTCAAACAACCAACCTTAATATATTGAGTCACCTAACAGAAACTGCCAAATGACAGCTATCCCCAGGGCCATTTTTAAGTGCTCCCTGGAATCCTGTGAAAATGTTAGACTTAAGGAAGCGATAGTCTCATATGGCATGCATTCACCTTTTGTGCAGCAGATGTTAAACTGGTGGTCAACTTGTAATAGAAGTATACCTCAAGACTAGAGAAACTTGGTTACAGCAGTCTTGGAGCCTGGTCCTCAATTACAATGGAGGACCTGGTGGAAAGATGATGAGTCTAAGACCATTAAACAATGAAGTAGGGCTAGATGTATGGAAATCTCCCCAAACCAACTTCTTGGAGAGGGAGATTATGCTGATGTATAAAGGAAATCGATATATGATGGCCACACCCTGAATTTATGTCATGTGGCAGCTTTGGATGCTTGGGACAGAATTGGAGAAGTGGGAATGAATACTTAGTCATTTGCTAAAGTTATACAGTGCCCAAAGGAAACCTTCATGGATTTCTTACTGACTTCAACAGTAAATAAAATGATACTAAATTCAGAAGTTGAACAAATAATAGTTGAATCTCTGGCTTTTGAAAATGTTAATTCCCAATGGGCAGTGGTGGCGCACGCCTTTAGTCCCAGAACTCAGGAGGCAAAGGCAGGCAGATCTCTGTAAATTTGAGACCAGCCTGGTCTACAAGAGCTAGTTCCAGGACAGGCTCCAAAGCCACAGAGAAACCCTGTCTCAACCCCCCTCCCTCCACCCCCAGCAAAATGAAAAGAAATTGCTAATTCTCAATTGAAAATGATAGTTAGGCAAGATCAGCACCCTTAGAGAAATAGGATCCAAGATACAATCAATATTGAATCTCCTGATCATGATGGTGTGTGGTTAGGAGAGGTAATTTCCAGAGGTTTGAAGAAAAATTGAAATATCAGATGTGTCAATTGCAGTAAACAAGGTCACCTAAAACACAGATTGTTTACAGGGCATTCCTATAAATAGTGTTTTTCTAAGTACAATTCACACAGAACGCCCTGAGTTCTGGATTTTGCAGAAGGTATGGCAAAGGCAGGCATTGAACTACTGAAAGTAGATCAACAAGGGACATTCAAGGTAACCCTTTGACACTGGACAACTCCTTGAGGGGTCTCTCACAGGCCTTTATATCAAAATCAGTTCGATCATTTACTGTCATGGAGGAAACTCCTTCCCAGAGCAATTAAAGAACCTAATGTCTGTTGCAAGAAAACATACTGCTTTCAATGGCAGAAAAACTCTAGAAGAGAGAATAAAAATTCAGGAGAAACTGTAAAGCAAATATTTTGGTAAACTTCTATAAAAGAACAAAAACCAAAATTAAAAAATACAAATAAGGATGTTGCCATTAAAGGTAGACACAGGTGTGGATGTCACAATAATTGCACCAGAATCTTGGCATCCATATTGGCATCTTCAGGAGGTAAATGCTTAGCTTTTAGGAATGGTAGCACTGTCTCCAATAAAACAGAGTAAGATGTGTGGGATATGTCAAACCAGGAGGCTAACATAGCATTGAATATGGGGTGCTCAGCTTAACATTCCTTCCGTCTTAGAAACAAGCCAAATTAGCATTTGTTATTGTACACTCTAAGCCTTCTCCTACAGGAATATTAATGCAAAGAGAGATATTATCTTAAATGGATCTTTTTAGCCACATTAAACTGACTAAAAATTATTCAAGAAAGGAAAATTGAGACTTAATCAATTAGCAGGAATAGACCCAGGAAAATTGTAGTACATTTTTACCAATGATGATATTGACCAATTATGGGCAGAAAGTAAACTTTGTCAAAGAGCTTGCAGTAATTTTGGGGGGAAGATTAGCAACAAATACCTCAAAAGCAAGAGATTGAACTTATAAAGAGAAATAACTGGATCATTCCTCTTATTATATGGAGGACACAAATATCTGGAACCCCTACATTATATAGTGTAGCGTGGATGATAAAAGGCCCAGGGACTGATAGTGGTTCAAGCTTCAAGCTTTTGCTTCCACGGGAAAAAAGCCATCAAAGTTTATAAAGGTTTGATTTGAACAAGAGACCGCTTAATTAGAAGAGATGATAGTTCATCAAGCAGTGTGACCTTTCATTATGAAGTAATTTATACATCTAACAAATGCTTCTCATTTGATCAGATATCACTTGCCAAAAAGGAACTACCTTAAAGTTAGGGTTGGGGCAGGCTTTCTTTTTGTCTTTTCAGGAGAATGAAGGTATCCTAGGTAATCTGAAGACCTCTGGACAACTGAGACACCTAAAGACAAAGAACATATCATCCAAACAAAAATGTCTCAAGGAGAAGAGAAATTGGCCTATTAGTGTATTGCATTTCCAACAGATAAAATTTCATAAATCTTCCCAAGTGTTTGCTTATACTGTTCTCTACAAATATATAATCAAATGGTCCTTTTGTAGTCCTAGTCCAATTAAAAATTAAAGCTGGCCTTCGAGCTGGAGTGTGGCTCTCTCTTTCTCTAAACCCAAGCATGTTATTAAAATCCAAAATCTCTGTCTCATATCAAAAAAGCCATATGGGACAGAAGACAAACAAAAAATTAGGGACTATTTTATTGTCACTAATCTCATAATCCTTTGTTTTTATTTTTTATTTTTTAAGGTGTTTCTTGAGATTATTGTGGCATCAGACTCGCAGAGTAGCGGTCTGTGCCCCTCACTCCTTCGCTGCCACCATGAACTACACAGGTTTTGTCCAAGGATCGGAAACCACTTTGCAGTCGACATACTCCGACACCAGCGCCCAGCCCACCTGGGATTATGGATATGGAACTTGGAACTCTGGGACAAATAGAGGCTACGAGAACTATGATTATGGCTGTGGCTATGGCCAGGATGACACCACCAACTATGGGTATGGTATGACCACTTCACACTCTTGGGAAATGGCTAGCTCTGACACAAATGCAAACCCTAGTGCTTCGGGTAGCGCCAGTGCCAATTCTGTTTCATCCAGAATTAACCAGCGTTTAGATATGATGCGGCACTTGGAGACAGACACAATACAAGGAGGTGTGTACAGCTCAGGTGGAGAAAGATATGACTTCTATGAGGCCTGTGACTCAAGGGCCGTCCTGAGTGAACGAGATCTCTACGGGTCGTGCTATGACAATGGCGAACTTGATCCTAAGATGGAAATTGCCTATGAGGGCCAATACGATGCCTTCCGTGACCAGTTTCAAATGCGTGGAGGAGATACATTTGGTCCAAGAGCTCAGGGCTGGGCCCGGGATGCCTGGAGTGGAGGGTCAATGGCCTCGGGCTATGGGCGCATGTGGGAAGACCCCATGGGGGCCCGGGGCCAGTGCATGCCTGGTGCCTCCCGGCTCTTCTCCCAGAGCATCATCTCCGAGTATGGCATGTTCCAGGGCATGCGTGGTGGGGGTGCCTTCTCTGATGGCTCCCGATTTGGATTCAGATTTGGCAATGGCATGAAGCAGATGAGGCGGACCTGGAAGACCTGGACCACAGCTGACTTCAGGACCAAAAAGAAGAGAAAGCAGGGTGGCAGTCTTGATGAGCCAAACAGCAAAGCTACCAGAACAGACTGCTCAGACAACAGTGACTCAGACAATGATGAAGGCACTGAGGGGGAACCCGCAGAGGGTATTGAAAGTGCTGAGGCTATGGAGAAAGGCTCCGGAGCAGAAGGCGAGGACGAGGAGGGAAAGGAGGATGGGAGAGAAGACGGCAAAGAAGATTCAGAGAAAGGGCCCCTGACTGCCCAGGATGAGAGCACCCAGGCCAAGAGCAAGTTGCAGGCAAGCAAGAAGAGCCAAGATAAGCAGAAGAAGCGACAGCGAGATCGCATGGTGGAAAAGATCCAGTTTGTGTGTTCTCTCTGCAAATACCGCACCTTCTACGAGGATGAGATGGGTAGACACCTTGACAGTAAGTTCCACAAGGAACACTTCAAATATGTAGGCACCAAGCTTCCCAAGCAGACTGCTGACTTCCTGCAGGAATATGTCACCAACAAGACCAAGAAGACCGAGGAGCTGCGAAAAACTGTGGAGGACCTTGATGGTCTGATCCAGAAAATCTACAGAGACCAAGATCTGACCCAAGAAATTGCTATGGAGCATTTTGTAAAGAAGGTGGAGGCAGCCCATTGTGCAGCCTGTGACCTCTTCATCCCCATGCAGTTTGGGATCATCCAAAAGCATCTCAAGACTATGGCTCACAACCGGAACCGCAGGCTCATGATGGAACAGTCCAAGAAGTCCTCTCTCATGGTGGCCCGCAGTATTCTCAACAACAAGCTCATTAGCAAGAAGTTGGAGCGCTATCTGAAGGGTGAGAATCCTTTCACCGACAGCCCAGAGGAGAAGGAGCAAGACGAGGTGGAAGCTGGCGCTCTGAATGAGGGGACACCAGGAGAAGCGACAGGGCTCGCAGAGGGCTTGCCGGCACAGCTGCCGGTGCCCCTAGAGCCCGCCCCAGAGACTGCGATACCCCCACCTCCACCGCCTCCAGAGGAGGAGGGCGCAGTACCCCCGCTGGGCGGATCCCTGGCCTCGAAGTGGGGCGGTGGGGGTGCTCCATAACCCACACCAAGAGCGGACAGGGCTGGCGCGGCCGAGGCTGGAAGCCCAGCATAATAAAGTGCTCTTGAAACCCCCACTAAATAAATAAATAGTTTCTTAAGGTATAAATATCATCTCAAAGCTTATAAGATATAGTGTGTGTGTGTGTGTGTGTGTGTGTATTGTGTGTATATATATATATACACACACACACACACACACACTTTTTAAACTTTTGTCATGATATCAATGGTCACATAGAGTACTAACTAATTCTAGAAAAAGGCTTCATCTGGCTTCCTGTACATGTTTTCACATTTTAGTCCCTATCAGTTTTCTGCAGTGAACTATGACCATGCCTAACAGTGATCTTTGAAGTCTCCAAAAGGATGTTAGGGACCCACAAGACAATTCCACTAGGACTACAATAACACCACAAAGCTGAAAACCACTGCCTAATGACTGGCTTTGGACTACAAACTGTTGAGGACAATTTTGAGGTGGCTGGCTGAGATGGTCCAGCCTCAGAAACTACGCTAACCAGGACTTCAGACAAGCCCTGCACTTTCCTGTTATGCAGACTGGATAACAAATGGTTCACCTTTGGCAATTAACCCAAATTTTTCTTTTCAGGATCATTCAATGAGGCTGTTGCCCCCAGACAGCAGGAAGTAAATTTAAGTCCATGATGCCCACATTCCCCAAATCGGGGTGGGTGGGTTTTATCATTCAGTGGGTTATGGATATTCGTCATTGTTTATGGGGGTTGGTTACAAGTTGTTATTGGTAATGGTCAGGGGAAAAAGCTGTATATATTGTATATAGTTATTTACTTATTGTATATATTATTTCTTATATTAGTTTATAGAGAGACACCCTAGCCCCGCCCTGGGACAGGTACCAGGTGGACCCGGAACTCGCCCATAAGGGGGTGGTGTAGGAAAGCCAAGGTAAGGGAGGTTTCTTAAGGACGGCTGGTGGAGAGCCGAGCCCCTTTTGTTCTGGCCGGGCTTGCTGGGTTCTATAACCTACTTCTGGCCTGTGTTTTGCCCTGGTGTTTTCTTGAATAAAGAGACTTTAATCAATACATTAGTTATAACCTTTTTATTTTAGACAAAAAAGGGAAATGTGATTTTTTTGTGATCTAAGAAATCAAGGTTTTCTGAAGATTGGAATGCAGAACTAAGTCACTTGTTAGCCACAGAGGCCAGGCGGTGGTGGCACACACCTTTAATCCCAGCACTCAGGAGACAGGCAGATGGATCTCTGTGAGTTCTAGGCCACCCTGGGCTATATGAGCTTGATCAGTATCAAAGAGAAACAGACCCAGCTGGTGGTGGCTCACACCTTTTTCCCAGAATTTGGGAGTCACACGCCTTTAATCCCAGCACTAGAGAGGTGGAGACAGGAGTGGCAGGGCTGGGTGGAGAGAGGAGTATAAGGCGGGAGGAAACAGGCGTTCAGAGTATTCAGTCTGAGGATTCCTAGAGACAGGATCGCACATTTGGCCTAAGGATTCGCTAGAGATAAGAACTAGTGACTGGGAGCTGGGCGAGGAGCTTCAGTAGCCGCGCACAAAATTGGAGCAGGACCTCAGAGCCACAGCCTCATCCAGACCGAGCGCAGAGACCACCGCGGGAACCCGAAGGGCCACCGTGCGCCGGGGCAGCCGTCGCGGGGAACAGCCACCAGCGGAGGACAACGGAGGACCGAGGACTGGAGCAGCTGAGCCGCAGCCGCAGCCGCACCGCAGCCCGGCCAATGGAGCAGACCCAGGCATCAGCAGCCTAAGACAGGACAGCGACCACACGGAGAGGGAGCTCCCTGGCCCAGGCTCGTCTAGCAGGCAGAGTGCAGTGGAAGCCTCTGGTGCTGCCGTCATGGAGTTCCTGTTTAGCAAGTCTCACCAATTTCCAGCACATATTGTGAAGAACTTGAAGGAGAGCATGGCTGTTTTGGAAAAGCAGGGCATTTCTGACAAAAAAGCAAAAAAGGCTACAGAAGAAGTTTCCAAAAATTTGGTGGCCATGAAAGAAATTGTGTACGGCACAAATAAAGAACCTCAGACAGAAGCTGCAGCTCTGCTGGTTCAAGAGCTGTACCACAGTGGACTCCTTAGCACTCTGGTAGCTGATTTACAGCTCATTGACTTTGAGGGCAAAAAAGACATGGCTCACATTTTCAACAATATTCTCAGAAGACAAATTGGTACAAGAACTCCTGCTGTTGAATACATCTGCACCCATCAAAATATTTTGTTCATGTTATTGAAAGGGTATGAATCTCCAGAAATAGCTCCTAGTTGTGGAGTGATGTTAAGAGAGTGCATCAGACATGAACCACTTGCAAGAGTCATTTTATGGTCGGAACAGTTTTATGACTTCTTCAGATACGTTGAAATGTCAATACTTGACATTGCTACAGATGCTTTTGCTACCTTCAAGGATTTACTCACAAGACATAAATTGCTCAGTGCAGAACTTCTGGAACAGCATTATGATAGATTTTTCAGTATGAGCAGTTACTTCATTCAGAAAATTACGTGACACAGCGACAGTCGCTGAAGCTTCTCAGTGAGCTGCTGTTAGATAGACACAACCTCACGATTAAGACGAAGTACGTGGGTAAACCTGAGAACCTCAAGTCAATGATGAACGTCCTCCGAGACAAGAGACGAAACATCCAGTTTGAGGCCTTTCACGTGTTCAGGTGTTTGTGGCCAACCCCAACAAGACCCAGCCCATCCTAGACATCCTCCTCAAGAACCAGACCAAACTCATTGAGTTCCTCAGCAAGTTTCAGAACGACAGGACGGAGGACGAGCCGTTCAATGACGAGAAGACCTTTTTAGTCAAACACATCAGGGATCTGAAGAGACCAGCTCAGCAAGGAGGCAGACTCAGCCGAGCTGACCCGGTTCTTGTCTTCCAACACTGTAAGGCAGGATTTAGTGTGACAGCGGTCGTTACAGCAGGCGGGACGGTGTCTCCTTGCCAAGCTAGCTCTTGGAGCCTTAAACAGCAAACAGCTTCTCCCTGGGCAAACGAGAAGCAGTCGTAGAGTTCTGGCGTGGGAGATGAAGTGCACTGTGTCAGAGAAACGTTTGTCACCAGTGCGTCAGGAGCCGGGGGCAGAGAAGACTTCCGGACTGTTTTCAAACAGAACAATGTGAAAACATCCAAATCAATCCAAAAAGTTGCATTTGATGTGTGATCATCTACTAGGTTCCCATTACCAAAACGATTACCTTGGGTGTGGGTTCTTTGGTGTTGTCAAGGTTTAATTTTACTTAAAGCAGTTACTTAATGTGATTTTTTTTAACCCTTAAAAAAAAGTGGGAGATGTTTACAACTGTTAATGACATGGAAGTGTTTCTTTTCTCCTGAGGAAAAGTGAATTTCTTATCAGATCTCTGGCTGGCCCTGTAATTTAAATCAAAATAAAATTTGGAGGAAAAAAAAAAAAGAACTATCTACTGTCTGCTTGGTTTCTTTGGTCTTTCAGCATTTACCTCACATCAGATGGGGTCTTTTTTATTAAGTCTAATTATATTCATGCTACAAATAAGCTTCATCTAACTTCCTGTACATAGTTTCGGGTTTGAGTCTGAAACAGGTAACTAGGAACTAAGTTTGTGTGCCCGGGGTGTGCTTAACAGATTGTGGTCTTCTAACCTTTTGAAGATCTGCCCATTCCTAGCTCTGATCTTTGAAGTCTCCAAAAAGATGATGGGGTCCTGCAATGACAAATCCACCTGAATTGTGGTAATTCCATTAAGCTGACAAATACCACCCAAAGATCAGCTTCAGACTACAAAACGCTCAGGATAACTTCAGAGCAGCTAGCTAAGATGGTCCAGCCTCACAGACTACTCCAGCCAGGACTTCAGATAAGCCCTGCACTTCTCCATCACACAGAGACTGGAAAATAAATGATACAGCTAGCTCTCCCAGGACTTGACCTTTATCTAAGTTTTCTCTGGGTCTCCTGAAGATGCCATCAACCTCAGACAACAGGAAGTAATTTTAAGAACATGACACCCACATTCCTGAGAGGTGGAGTGGGTAGTTTTGGGGGGAGGGGTCATTTTCTGGGTTGTGGGTATTTGTCATCATTTAGGGCGGTTGGTTGCAACTTGTTACTGGTCATTGTCAGGCAGGTATCTAAACAAAGGAGGTTAGATTATGAGATTTTTTTCTTTATCTTTCCTCTATCTTTATTTTTTTCCTATCTAGTGTTGAATAAAAGAGGGGATGGGGTTAAAATAAAGAAAGGGGGTATAGGAATGATAAGATAAAAATATTTTACCTTTGTATGGATTTTTTATATTGATACAAATTTAAGGTCATTTTTGTTACAATATAGTATATTATATATGTAGTATAATATATAATATATACTATAATTATAATATCTATATAATATATAATATATATATTCCTACTCTTGGTATGTACCTATGCAGCTCATTTTAAAATATAAAGTTCTAGTCCTTGAAAGCTATTACAAACTGTCTAAGATAATAAAGAATTGCAGGTTAGCACTTAGTCACCTCTAACAATCAAACTTGTAGTCATGTTAGGTATGTTTTCAAGGTTAAATAGAGATGTATTTCAGATAGATAGATTGTCTTCAAACACTTCAGAAATCTACCGAATATGGCACTTAAGATGTATTAATAACATAAGGCTTTTCCTAACAATGAGACATTGTCTGCTTCTGGCAATGACAATCTACTTCAGAGAAGATGATGGGCATTGGAGAAACTCCATACGGAGTTTGCTATCAATGTGGCAAAGCTAGCCACTGGACAAGAAACTGCCCTGGCCTCCACTGATGACAGTATGCTGTCCAAATTGGACCAGACAGACACAAAGGAAGTCAGCTGCTGAATTTGCTAAGACAAGGTAGGCCAGTCCTTCAGAATTCACAGAAAAGTCTGTCAGATAGTTTGGGCCTGTAGCCTGAAGACAGATGCTCCAACATTGCAGAGTAAACTTGGGTGACTGTCCAGGCAGACAGTGGTCTCTGCCATTTCTATAGTTTTGAAAGTGAAAGACCCCAACTCAACCCAGCCTGATACCCACCAGCATGTATTTGAAAATCACTCTGGCTACTAGTTTCCAAGGAATGTTATTATCTTCAACAACTGTCTGGTTTCTAAAAATTGTTATGGGTTACCCTGCTCTAGAGCACCCAAGTTTTGAAAGTAAGTATAAGTCACTCTGTTCCCAGAAAAACCACTAGCTGTCCCATGGCCTTGCAGGTGTACAAACCAAAATAACATTCCAAACCCGTCATGGGCAAAATTGTAAGTTCAGTTCCCAACCAATCAGAGAATGACTCATGTATGTTATAGCCAATCAATATGTTGTCATACTCCTGCCTAGTGACTAAAAAGACATAAAAACTGCTTGCTTTGAAAAACTCGGGGTTGTTCTCTTCTCAGAGAAAGACCCCAACGTGGAATAAAATCCTTTTGCTTTTGCATCGAGCTTGCGTCTTGTAAGTAACTCTGCAGGGTGCGTCTCCCGAAGTTGGTCACCCTTTTGGGCCCAACAAAAGTAGCTTGTTCTGTACTTCTTATTTACTCAGGAAATATTTTATCTTTCTCCAGTCTTCAATAGGGCTGAAGACTAGATAGCTATAGTTTTGTAGTTTTGTTTTGTTACCAAATTCAAAAAAGAAACTCACAAAAGAGATGTAAAGATTATGAAGGTTGAGAGACATAAAAGCTTAAGTTGTTTATCTAAGAAAATGTTTTATGATATAAAAGGATATTTTAAGCTGGTAATAGAAGTCATAATAGAAAGTAATTTAGGTATAAAGCTTTGGACTTGGCAAGGTATGATAGACAAGAGTGCTTTCTCCAAAGTTGACAAATACAAGTGGACTGGACATTGTAAATGTAGTTCTTACCAGATAATTTTTCTTATTTTATATAGTTTTATTGTGTTAGAGTTAAAACCTTTACTTTTTTATTTAGACAAAAGGGGGAAATGTGGAATATCTGATCACATGGTGAACTCCAAGATTGTACTAATTAAATACAATCAACCTTGGGTTAAGAGGCAGATCCAGCAACAGTTGGCAAGAAGTAGCCATAGAGAAATACAGAGGAAGTAGGAGGGAGGGACTTTGAGTCTGGAAGATTTTTTGTTTGTTTGAGGATGGCAGAAGAGGAGCTCTCTTTCTGACATGCCAGTTAAGGAAGAAAGCCAGCTGGATGCTACTGTGCTTCTTTCTGCTAGCAAGTCTTCACCCCAAGACTGCAAAGTCTATTGATAAAAATCTTAAGATTGAGATTAATATAAAAACAACAGAAGTCCATGTTATTGAGTCTATGCATAATGCCAATCTCTGCCACCATGGCCACTTTGTTCATGGGTCCATTGGGCAATGGCAGGAATGGCTAGTTAAGAGGCTGACTGTCCACAGAATGGGTCATCCTATCTACTCCATTATCGAATTACTGGTCACCTGAAGTCACCTTTTGATGAGCATTTACACGGGACACAGTATCTTCAGACCTTTGCCCATTTGGAGAGATCTATCCACACACTTCTTACCCAGATGTCTTTCTCACCCACTTTGCAACCATGCTCTTTCTGAGTCCCAAACCATCCAGCCAATCCATTGGCTACAGCCCCATCAATCAGTGAGTAGTTGCTCATTGTGTCATTTCTTCTTCCAAAAACTGTCTGACCATGTGTACTGCCTGAAATTCTGCCCACCGTGAAGATTTCCCTTCACCAGTGTCTTACAGGGTTGTTCCAAAATGGGGTTGTAATGCCCCAGCTGTCCACATCTGGGCAGTGTCTGCATGATGTACAGAACCTTCAGTAAACCAGGCACTAGTTTTCTCTTCCTCAGTCAACCAATCATAAGGAACACCCCATGAGGCTGTAGGTAAATGCTTGGCAGCAGAAAGCATTGTGACAGAAGTAGAAGCCATAGGCATTTGGATACCTTCTTCACGTAGCTTGCTTATGTCTTCAGGACCTGCTTGGGCCCTTTCACACTTCTATTTGCTAATAGATTGCTGTCATGAACATCCTAATTTAGACTCAGTGGGTCAGATAACACCCAGCTCATGGTGGGCAGTTATGTCACATGGTAACTTGGTGGCCCATTGTCAAACATTCAGTTTCTACTAAGGCCTAGTAGTAGCTGTCTTTCACCAGGAAAATAGTTGTCTGCAAATGATGGCAGAGCCTTACTCCTAAATTCCAAAGATCTCTTCTGTGCTTAACCTATAGGGGCCTGGCAAAGGCTCCAAACAGCAACCCTATCTGTCACTGCCACCTCGAGTACCATAGGCTCTGCTGGATCATATGGTCCAAATGGGAGAGCAGCCTGCACAGCAGCCTGGACCTGTTGAAGAGCCTTCTCCTGTTCCAACCCCACACAAATCCAGTGATTTTCTGAGTCACTTGGTGTATGATCTGGAGTAACACACCCAAGTGAGGAACTGTGGTTTCCAGAATCCATCTAGACAAATAAGTATTGTGCTTCCTTCTTGGTGATTAAAGGAGTTGGGTGCAATAACTCATCCTTCACCTTAGAAGGAATATCCCTGCATGACACACACCACTGGACTCCTAAGAATTTCACTGAGGTAGAAGGTCCTTGAAATTTGTTTGGATTTATTTTCCTTCCTCTGATACACATATGTGTTACCAATGCTCACTTGGTTCAATCAGCATAATATCATCAATATGGCACACCAGTGTGATATTTTGTGGGAGAGACAGATGATCAAGGTCCCTTCTAACTAAGTTATGGCACAGGGCAGGTGAGTTAATATATCCTTGAGGCAAAACTGTGAAGGTATAACTACTGGCCTCACCAACTGAAAGTAAGTTGCTTCCTATTGTCCTTGCAGACAGGAACCAAGAAAAAGACATTTGCTAGATTAATAGCTGCATACCATGAACCAGGAGATGTGTTAATCTGCAATCAGAGTCACTACTTGACTGAGTTTTCCATAGTCAATAATTATTCTCCACAATACATCTGTCTTCTGCACTGTGCAGATAGGAGAGTTAAAGGGAGATGTG